AAGTTTGCACAAATAGACAAAAAATAGTACAGAAAACCTCAATACAGAAAAATTCAGAGAAAAAGCCATCTTTTAGAAAGCAGGTCAAATGGACTCAGTTAAAGACCTCACTGAATGTAGGAGAACCAATGGGAAACAACGTAAAGCCTTCTGCTAGAACATAAATAGGAACCAGTCTATGTAATCAAGAAATTATTTTGCCTCCTGATGTAAATGCTTGCCTCCAGTCTAGGGCTCAGAAAAAGGCCTGGTTATTTGAACTGGTTGTCAATCAAGGTCCCCTTCATTTTCGCTTTCTTGGCTTCCAGTTCAGCCAGCTCTTGCAGTCGCATCTTGCTCATGCCTTTGCGCTCCAGCTGTTTTTCAATCACTTTGGCATTCTGCGCATAGGAGTCAGCAACTTCCCTAGCCTCAATCTCTTCTTCCTCTTCATCAATGGTAGACACAGTGACAGAAGTGAACTTGCCCATGTCTTTGGTCCATTTGGTCATCATCACCTTCTTAGGAGGCTCTTGTTTCTGAGTATATACGTTCGTTTTCCCAAAGGCCTGGCCAAACTTGACTAATGCTCCATCCACAATGAAGGTAACGGGAGCGTTATTCGGCTGGGATTGGTAGAAGAGCAGCAGTCCACACTTTGCACATTTCTTTCTGTACTGTCGTTCAGTGCCTTCAGGTCTCCGCAGATACACAGTCTCCTGGCCTTCTGTGTTACAAAACTTACGGGCATGTTTGGCAGCATCAATCACACGGGACCGGTCCCGGGGCCTCATGGGCAGTTTCTCTAACTGACAGTCCAGCAGTAGGACCATCTGGCCGCACAAACAGTAGTACACATGGAGGGGCTTCTCGCCATCATCATATTCCTCCCGGTCCCGAGTGTCAGAGCAGACTACTGACCGAGACACTACTTTCGGCATGGTTCCCAGGAGCCGCCTGAAAAATCTACGCATACAAGAGGGTCGCGCCGAAATGACGTCACGAGCGCGCCGCGCACCTTTCCCCTGCGGCTACCTTAGTAATGGGACTTAAATGGCCCTTATCCACATTTCCGTAACATATAAACATCGGTATTACTAAAACACCTTGCGAAGTATTCCACATTTTCTCGGTAAGCTACTAACCCAGGGCCACAGCTTTCCACCTTGACTGAGATATAATTTGGTCTGATGAATGACGTGTTATTAACTTATGGAGCACACAGGCCACTTTGGTTGACATTCTATTTAAAATATGAAATGTAATGTTTAGTTCTAGTTGTTAAATTGGTTGACCCTTAGCAGATGGGAGGTGCCGACTTTGGTGCTCAGAGGCTTGTGAGAGCACATCCTATATGTAGAAACGTTACCATCCCTTGTTTACTGATAGTACTGTCTTAAAATCCTAGCAAAGCCCAGCCATTAAACAAGCTTGTTATTTTGGCTACTAGCCAGTTTCCACGGGCCTCCGTTTTGGCATCAGTAAAAGGACAGAGACTTTCTCTTCCTCAGAGGCTCTTGTTTGGGCACAGGTGACCACAAAAGGACCACTTAAAGCTGACAGCAGCTGACAGTGAAGGAGAGATGCAGTGTACAAGTCCCAGTCTGGTTTCACTCAGTCTTTTTCTCTAAGCTCCTCTAGGATCTTACCGAGGATCTCATGGGCAGAGGCAGGAAGAGGATTCTAAATCTTGAGAAGCCCAGGCCAGAGAAGACAGCTTTCATGCTGCTGTTCTGAGACTGCAGCTGGAAAGGAAGGGCGGGGGGTGTAGTCAGTTACAGCTGTTCCTACATTTGTCTGTAAAACAACTCTTGTGAATTCCAGACAAAGAAATAAGGACCAAAGCAAACAGCACATCAAAAGCCTGGGGCTCACTTCCAGAACTGTAAATTTTAATTTTCCCCTTGTGTTGTTTGATGGAGTTCCTAATAGAAACAGTCTTCCTTGGGGCTCTCCTTGATGTCAAAGTCTGTTTTTCTTTTAGAAACTTCTAAAATTACTAGATTTAATATGCTCAGCTCTTTCCACAAAACCTAAATAGCCATTCCACCTTCCTTCGTTGTGGAAACTGTGAATCTTCCTTCTCTTTTGCTGCTGTTGTCTAGGGAAGGGCTGCTGCCTCGTGCAAGAACTGTTCTAGAATTGGTGTCCTTTCTTTTTTTTTCCCAAGTTCATCCCCTGTAGGGCATGGTTAGTATTTTCAGCAACAAAGGTTGAGTTGTATCTTGAGGCACAGAAAGAGGATGCCCTATCATTCGCGGTGTAGAGGGCTGTCTGTTCAGGCTACTACGGAAGTTGGGCAGGGCATCTTTAGATTTGTGGGCTTTGATAAGCACCCTCGCTCAGGGAGGTACATTCTTGAGCTGATGATTGAGTTTGTACTTTACCCTCATCATGCCCTCCCTCATCTAGAAAGTGTAACAACTCCTTTTCCTCTGTCTTTTCTTTATTCCAGATCAGATTGATGAAAATCTCAAACTGGCTTTGCAACAGGACCTGACCTCCATGGCCCCTGGGCTGGTCATTCAAGTAAGCATTGCTGCATGGGAGCAGCCCCTCTCTCTCTGACACTGCGTCCCTTCTCCCAAGGGATGTTCTTTTTGTGCAGGAAGATCAAGACAGTGGGAGCTGTGTGTGTCCTTCACTACCCTCACTTTCCCATCAGCTGCTGTTTTAATCTCTCTCCAGGCTGTGCGGGTGACAAAGCCCAACATACCGGAGGCAATCCGCAGAAACTATGAGTTGATGTGAGTATACCCTCCACCTGGGCTGTGACCACCACTGCCTCCCACCTCCCACCTCATCCCATCCCAGAGGTAACCGAAGCTGCCTGGCTTCTCGGTTATCTCCTCGCTAGAGGATTTGCCACAGCCCACTGCACTGTAAGATTGGGCAGACGTGTCACGGCCACGACTGGGGCTGCCTACCTGTGATTGAGAACCCCAGGAGAAGCCCTATAAAGCAACAATGCTTTGAAAAGGGCCAGGGGGCCTTGTTTGTATTCAGTGACTCATGCCCAAGGGGAAGACAGAAGCAAGAGACCAGTAAGTGGACAGGCAGGTGTACTTTACTAAAGTAAATTACATTTTATTTCCCACAAATGAGTTATTTGGGAGAAGAGCTGTGTTACTGTCGGGGGAACAGATCAGCTTTTACCTAGGCCATGGAACAGCCTTCCAGGAGGAGTAGGAAATGGGAGTTTGCCTCTCTTCAGCAGAAGAGTTCAGCTTCTTCTGGGGACAGTGAAGTTCCTGAGTTTTTCGTAGTGGCCTCACGGCTTTGTTTCCTCTTCAGGGAAAGTGAGAAGACAAAGCTGCTCATTGCAGCCCAGAAACAGAAGGTGGTGGAGAAGGAAGCAGAGACAGAGCGGAAGAAGGCACTCATTGGTCTGAATGTGGTTCTGTGATCCCCCTTTCCAGGCAGAAGGGCTGGGGGTGGTGGGAAGATGCAAGGAGGCTGAGGCCTGCTGAGACCCCATGGTCCTCCAAACCACTTCCACAGCGGAGGAATGGCAGGTGGACTCCCAGAAGCAAAGTTGAAATTGTCAGATCATGGCCACAGGGAATGAGTTTTGAGTTTCCGCTTACCTCTTAAATGAAAGGAGCCCTGCCTGTTAATTCTTAACTCATAATAATAATGGCTAATACTTAATTGAGCCACATACTTTCCTAAGCACTTAATACGTGGGTTAACTCAACCGTCACAACCACTTTGTGAGGTAGGTACTGTATTATCCTTAATCTTATTTTATCAAACCAAAGCACAGAGGGGTAAAATACCGTGCCCAAGGGCATATGGCAATAAGGGATGGAACTGGAGCTCCAACCAAGAACACTTGCTCTAGAAGCTATGTTCTTAGTCACCGCACTGTATTATCAACAACAAACCTGACCCCTGTCTGCGCTGAAGGGCCAGGTAGAACCCTACTAGAGTACTTCATTCTTTAGAATATTCCTTTGGGAGACGTTCCCTTGTGAAGTTAGGGCTCATTCTTACTATGTTGGGCCCAGGTCTCCTTGGTTACTGCCTTGTGCTTATGGAAGGGGACTCTGCTCACTGGCACATCCCACTCTGCCCGTGTGTGCCCTCACCGCCGCCCTCTGGGGGCTCTTCAGCCGAGCTGGCCCACTAGGACACTCAGCTCAGGGGAAAGGTGAAATCAAACTCTGAAATGTCAGAACCCTAAGTCTTTCCTCACTGTCATTTTTTTCAGAGGCAGAAAAAGTGGCGCAGGTGGCTGAGATCACCTACGGGCAGAAGGTGATGGAGAAGGAGACTGAGAAGAAGATTTCAGAAATTGAAGGTAAGCAGAAGCGATGCTCGTGCCTGCGTCCTCCCCAGACCCCGCCCTGTGGCCCGTGGGTGGGGGAGCTGTTGCCTTTGCCCTTTAACCGTGCTCTAGGATGGCATGATCTCTGTGCAACAGCAGCTTTCCTCCATGCAGAGACTTGAGATTTGAGGCGACTGTGGCCAGACCCGCATCTGTTTTCTACTTCAGAGAGCGTTCGTTCATTCAGCAAATGTGGCTTGGGTGCCAGTATGTGTCCAGCATTTTGTTAGACGTGAGAAAAAAAAAGTCCCATAGTCCCTGCTGTCTTGAAGTTCCCAGGCTGGTGGGGCCTTGGAGCACTGGGAGCACACTCAGCAGCTGGCTCTCCCCCATGCCTTAGCTACCCCTGCTCCAAAGTTGGTTGGCACCATGCTTTTGGGCTCAAAGTCTGTTCTCCAGGTCTGTATAGATATCAAGCCAGGTTTGAAGAAGACAGATTTTCAGCACCAGTCACACAGGAACTGGAGAGAAAGGTTTTCTTTGCTGGCTTTTCTGAATATCATTCACCTTCTATTCCTGCTCCTAGGCCTGTACCTCCTTCCCACTGCCCACCTCTTACTTGTTGGGTTGGCTTATGTCAAGCAAATTCCAAGGCAGAACTGGAACCTCAAGGCCCAGCTTCAGGCTACAAAGTGTTATGTCCAATTATACTCATTATGGGGCCTGTCAGGCTTTGCAGGGCCCCATAGAGGAGCCAGTTAGGATTTCACAGATCAGCAGCTCCTCATTAGGGAGCTCTTAGCAAAGCAACACGTTTTTATTTCTCACAAATACCTGTCGTCAAGTGCTCAGGCCAGCTGAGGGGGCCCCACAGCAGCCAGAACCCTGGCTGGACTGCAGGCTTCGTCCACGCAGGGTCACACTGAGGGCATGCAGTGAGAACCCACCCACAGACTCACCTTTCTCCCAGGCTTGCTGCTGCAAATATCACTCACATGAGGCTGGCCTGTTTCTAAGACAAGGGGATATGTATCAAAAATTTTGCATCAGCTTGACAGAAAGCTAGTCTCAGAGCTGATTAGGGAAGAATATGGCTTGCACAGTGGAATTAAATAGGTCTTAATCAAAACATGTATTGGTCTGGCCCATGGCATGTAATTCTCTCTCAGACTTGTGCCAGCTTAATCACTGTTCATTAGGACCTTTTTGAAATGATTGATGGAAAGAAAAGGGAAATGAAGTTGGAGAGGGACTGAACTACGTTATGCTCATTGCATTCGGTTCTCGGGTGGATCCACCTCTGGCCGTACTCAGAGCTGCCTTTGAGCTTTCCTTGCTTTTGCTGTGTAGCACCAGAGGGAGGAGCGGAAGGCTCTGGCCTTGAGCTTGAGGCAGGATCCCACTGCTTTGCTTCACAGACGTGGATCTTCAAAAGAAGGAAACAGGTGGAGACAGGAAGTGCTTCTGGCTAGCATTGCTTTTTTCCATAGTACTGTCAATGTGTATGTTTGGGCCACAGACACAGACTTGCTGTCCCTGTTATCAGGAGATGCGTTCAAAGCACTTTTTCATCTTGGTTGATCCTTACAGCAACCTGTACAATAGGGGAAAACACATTTAAAGCACAGAAGAAAAAGCAATCTCCCCAAGGTCACAGTGGCAATCAGGAGCGAAGTTCCAGGGACCAGAACAGAGTCTTCCCATAGCCTCTGCACTTCCTAAAAAGAACTCAGTTTTAGCCCTTCACCAAGTTCACTGCACTCCTTCCCTTTCAGACGCTGCATTTCTGGCCCGGGAGAAGGCAAAGGCGGATGCTGAGTGCTATACTGCTATGAAAATAGCCGAAGCCAATAAGGTAAACACCCTGCACAGCTGATAAAGAGGTGTCTTCGGGTCTGGGTCTGTACTGCTGGAGAGTTTCCAGCGTTGAATGCCCACCACCACCCAAAGGCCTTCATGGCCAGAACGGAGGATGCCTGTGCTGTGTGCAGGTACTTCCCTTCTCCTTGGACGTGCCTTGTTAGAAGTTTAGTTTTGTGTTAAACATGAAAACTTGTAACTTTTGCAACTCTGCTCGCAGATCTGAGATGACTGTCTCTTATAGAAATGTAACAGTGAGACCACAAAAAGTAGGTAGGGGCATAAATATTTGACAGAGAACCTCGTCAGAGGAACACTGAAGGGCCATCACCCCCCTTTTTCTCTAGTACACTTCCACCTAAGTCTTCCATGCTTTTTTTTTTTAACAGCTGAAGCTGACCCCTGAATATCTGCAGCTGATGAAGTACAAGGCCATTGCTTCTAACAGCAAGATTTACTTTGGCAAAGACATTCCTAACATGTTCATGGACTCTGCGGGCAGTGTGAGCAAGCAGTTTGAGGGGCTAGCTGACAAGCTAAGCTTTGACTTAGAAGACGAACCCTTGGAGACGGCTACTAAGGAGAATTGAAAAAAACTTTATACGACTGCAAATGATACTTAAGCAGATCTTTATTTTTTAAGATGAATCAGAATGTTCCTGCCTCCCCCACTACCTTCTTTGACTGTCTTCAAGTTACTGTGGTGAAAAAGAAGAAATGAACTTAAATCTACTCCCCTTCCAGGGAAGGGAGGGTGGGGACTGACAATAGGGGGTTTTATTTCAGGTAAGCAGTTTATATGACTTCCGATAAGATTTGTAAACCATGGGCTTGACCTTTGACCTCGAGACACTAATTTTATCCTTTGAGGCTGGCTTAATTAGGGATGCTATCATTAAGGGAGGGGAGAAATGTAGAGTGTTGCCTCCAACTGATTTGATTTCCCTTATTTGGGAAAATGTAGTCCAGTATTCTCACCCCTGCCTCTGAGGTGGGAGATGTCTGTGAGTGAGGCTCAGCAACTGAGCAAATATGTGCTTGTGAGTTTGCCAGTAGAGCTGTGGAGAAACAGCTGCAGAGAATGTTCGACCCTCCTGGCATTTTTGTGCACGTGTGTGTGAGTTATTTTAGAGGCATGCTTTCCTGAGCCCTCATAAGGAAGTACTGGTGCTAGGTTTTGCAAGATTTTATATACACTTTGCTCCTTGCCCTAGGGCCCAGAGTGGTGGTTTCTGACTATATTTCTAGAGTCAGAGCTTGAACATCACCACTCAGTTATTTCTGCAACTTTTCACCTATCCTGTGATTTTTTTTTTCTTCTCAAATAATCTGTTCGTTGGTTCCACTCAGCATCAAGAAGACAGTGACAAACAACCCAAGTGTCTTAATAGCTGCTGGAGTAGGATCCTTGTTATCTCTTAGCCACTGCAGGACCTGCCTGACAGATTATGCATGCACCTCGAGATGAAGCGTCTTTCTATTGTAGAGATTCTGCCGTGAAGAGGTCTGACCCTGTGTGCAGCAGGAGGAATGATCAGTCAAGAGATGTCCTGGTCTTAATGCCTGTGCCTTGTGCTGGGAGTGGGTCTGGCTTAGTGATAAAAGGACTCTATTCACTAAGTGGCCTGTGTTTTTGACACAGGTCAGACAACGTTCAGTCTCCAGAGACAGCTGTGTGGAGCAAGTCAGAGTTCACGCCCAAGTCCCCGGGTTGGAATGGCTGTGCCAAAATCCATTCAAAGGGTTTTATTTTTCATTACTAGCTCAGAAAATTTTGAGTCACCCTGGGAGATTCAGGATGGGGAAAGCAAACTTGAGCAAAAGGTTTTTCTTATATCCTAAGATTAGGGTGGCAGGGAACATCTGACCTGTATAGCTCATGGGTTGTGTCTAGAATTAATTGGAGGGCAGCTATCTGTAGTTAACTTGCAAGCATATAGGTGCCCTCCATGACCAGCTCTGGCTTAGGACTTGGCCCTGTTATGAGCTAACTCCCCCACAACTCCTACTGTACCCCTCTTCCCTAGGTGAATCTGTGAATGGGCCTTTCTGGCAGCAATGCCTGCCTTATTTTTGGGCCCATGCTCAGATTTCTGGTTTAAGGAATGGTCCCAGAACTTGGGCCAGCTTGCTCAGGAGTTTTGGGAGCCTTGAGCCTGCCTAGAAAGACACAATGTTAGCTCCCCTTACTTCAAAGTTGCCCTTCTCTGTTAAATTCCTGGGACTTTCAGTCCTGGACACACTTTTTGCAGGCAACAAAATGTTCCTGGGAGTGATGGATTTTAATGTGCTCCGGAGTCCTTTCAGAAGGGGTCATTTCCCTTGGCCAGGCATGGTGGCTCATGCCTGTAATCCCAGCACTTTAGGAGGCCAAGGCAGACAGATACCTGAGGTTAGGAGTTCGAATCCACCCTGGCCAACACAGTGAAACCCCATTTCTACTAAAACTAGAAATATTAGCTGGGCGTGGTGGCAGGCACCTGTAATCCCAGCTACTTGGGAGGCTGAGGCAGGAGAATCGCTTGAACTCAGGCGGCAGAGGTTGCAGTGAGCCAAGATTGTGCCGCTGCACTCCAGTCTGGGTGACAGCCAAGACTCCATCTCAATAAAAGGAAAAAAAAGAAGGTGGTGATTTCCCAAGACCAGCATAGGGGGTATCCATTTAAAATACATTCATCTTCCTCCTATTTCTATGCTACTTGTTAGGGCAACATGACATGCCCAGCATCCCCACGTATATGTGTGCACCTTCTACTCTGAGCTTTTGCTGTCTAGGCCTCAGAAAACACCAGTTCACCACAATAGAACCAGGAGCAGGGATAGCTCAGCTTTTCTGAATAGGATGCTTTGCTCAGATCTTAACTTGAGGGCCTCTCCAGTACTAACATCCTTCGATAGCTTGTCCCGTAACCACAAAAGAGCCTCAGGAGCGTCAAGTCCTGCTGCAGCTGCCCCGCCCCAAGTTACTATCATTTCATCTTTAAACAAAAAATATGTTGTCGTACCCATTAGTGTCAATCCAGTGGTTGTCTCTATCTGTCTAAATAGCAAAATCATGGAAATCAGCCGTTTCCTTTGTATAGGACAACTAACCCATCTGTCTGTATGATTTTGTTTTTAACACTTACTAGAAAATCTAATCTTAAAACATTTGAATTCTAAACATGTAAAATGTGAGAGCCTGCAATTTTGTAGACAGTGAAGTAATGGCTGCTATTTATAAATGGAATGTCTATCAAAATTAGTTTATAAAATTCAGTTTTTGTAGGATTATCCAAGGAAAAATCACCTTGATTGAATGTTTCTCACTCATTAAACTTTGCAGAAGTAATTCATATTCAGTACTGTTTTTAATCACTTTTTAAAATATAAGGACCGAATGTTTGCAAGGAAACCAAAGTTTATTAATAATTTTTATATAACTAAAATAAAGTAGATATGGAGGGATCTATGATTATATAAAAAGGGAGGGTTCCTGAAGGAATTTTAGCAATATATTGATCCAAGAAAAGGAGCTGTTTTATAAATGATCATTCACTGTTCCTCTGGTTCTATGTATCTTTCAAAACATACCTTTACTATTTAAAGAGAGTAAATAGTGAAAGTAAGATGGTCATACTTACTGACTTTATTTAAGTTTGATGGAGATAAACTATGTCTTAGCTAGTGGCTACTGTGTCTGTGAATTTAACAACTACTTCTTTAAGTCCTATTCAGGAGGGTTCTAGCCACTGCTTTTTTGTTGTTTCTAGCCACTGTTTTTTTCTCGTTTCCTTCTAAAAGAGGTAATGACCAATTATTTTGTGTTTGTGTTTCCATTCCTTTTTATTTCGCTTTTGTGTAGACTAATGACTGCATAGTCAAACTACTACTTTCATAGAGCCCCAAGAACTTAATGACCCCATTTGTAACTGAGAAATGCCTCTTGTTTTAGTAATCATTCTGTAAATGATACTGCTGGATTGATTGCCTTGGGTTGATAGCTGGAGGAATTGTTTTGGATAATACTAACAGGCCCGTGTGAATTTATGTCTTAGTTTTATTTGCAATCTTGCTAAGTAAAATGAGTCTTTGTGTCTACTTTTTTATTAAAGTGAAATACAGCAATAGCTAATATTAGGATAGGTGACATAAAGAAATAAAACATCCCTGACTAGTGAGTTAAGTACAAGATCTCTCTAAAAATGTATTCAGATGAAAATCTGTCCCCATTATCCATAGAGAAACAATAAAAAATGAATTTGTGAACACAGCATAATTCTTGTTAGGTACTAAAGAGATTTATCATTTTAAACAATTTACACACCACTGCAATTCTGCTCCAAAGGGCAGAGATAGTTTCAATTGACCCAAAACTCATTCTAATATCAGTTCAGTGGAAGAAATCCCAGTCTTTACTCCGGAAAGCTGCCCAGCTTAGGGCTGCCAGATAAAACATAGGATACCTAGTTAAATATTAATTTCAACAATGTATAATTGTTAGTATAAGTATCATATGTCCCAAATACTGCATGAGACATACTCATACTAAAGTATTTGTTTATGTGAAATTCATATTTAACTGGGTATCCTGTGTTTTTACTTGGTAAGTCTGGCAACCCTAGCCCAGGCTTTCTCAGGTTTTTCAACGGGGCTCCCAAGCTTTCTCTATGGGTTTGAGAGCCTGCTACACAAATAATATGATCTTAGCAATTGAGTAGGTATGTTAAGAATGTAGTTACTGGAGTCAGACTGCAAAAGTTCAAATCAGTGCTCTACTACTTCTTAGGTGTGTGGTCTTGGATAAGTTTTTTGACCTCTCTACGCCTGTGTTTCTTCATTTATAAAATGGGTTGAGTGGCTTATGAAATAATGCATATGAAGGGCTTTCACACTGTACTTGCATGTATGCAAAAACAACTTATTTTCAATCTGGAGAAACAGGCTAGAAAACACACAGCTATTAAATGGGAACCACTAAGTAGAAAGCCAAACACGTGAAAAAAATGGAATCAGATTACAAATAGGACAGCACATAGAAGGGAATGATATGGCAATGCGGCAAACACAGTATTTAGGATATGTACCTCTACAAAAATGCAGTGTAGAAAGTAACCTGGTTTAAAGAAAGAAAAGAACCGGGTTTGGCCCTGTTGAGAGGAATTGTCCAGTTCTGGGCTCCAGTTTTAAAAAGGAAAAAATTTGTAATCCCAGCACTTTGGGAGGCAGAGGCGGGTGGATCACGAGGTCAAGAGATTGAGACCATCCTGGTCAACATGGTGAAACCCCGTCTCTACTAAAAATACAAAACATTAGCTGGGCATGGTGGTGCGTGCCTGTAATCCCAGCTACTCAGGAGGCTGAGGCAGGAGAATTGCCTGAACCCAGGAGGCGGAGGTTGCGGTGAGCCGAGATCGCGCCATTGCACTCCAGCCTGGGTAACATGAGTGAAACTCCGTCTCAAAAAGAAAAAAAAGAAAAAAAAAAAAAAGGAAAAAATTTGAAGAGGCTAGAAAGAAAACAAAATGTTAAAATCAAAAAGAAAAAAAAAATGTAAGAAATAAAGCTCATACATTGATCCCAGAAAAGGCAGAAGGGAAATTTAATGACTTCACAATTATAAAAGTTACATAATGGTAGCTAAAAAAAGGAAATTCGCTTGAATAAAGGAGTATTTTTAAATAATTAAGATCAGGCTTGCTAAAGCTTCAAATGGGGAGCAGTTATTACCTGCAAATAGAAAATAAATAGTCTTCTCTGATGGTCTGCAGAAATTGGGAAGACTGTGCTGTTTGGGATGGTTTCAATGTCATTCTTTCTGTATGAAACCTCCCTAGGTCTTCCCTAAGTCAGGTTTCTAGAGTCTATATAGACATTTCAAAGGCCAGTTGTGACAGCATGTTTGCCAAGGGCTTGCTGCCATGGGCTACTCTACCTGAATTCATTTAAACTGGGATATGGCCATTATTTCTCCATTTCTCTGTAGAGCTAAGTAACCAGGCAACAGTAATTTTCTATTTTATTTTTTTATCCCCCTCAAAAGAATCACAGTAGGCTCAGAAGGAAACACTTTAAACCCATATATGATATGTTTTTATCATAATTTGGTTTTATTCCAGACTATGAGAGTGTTTTAAAAGCTTGATAGCATAAGCATACTAGATTTTAGATTGTTTATAAAATCTGTTTCTCTGGGCAGTTGGCTTTTTCATCTTTCTCTTTTCCCCTGTGTCCTTGCAAATTATTGGAGCAATTCAAAGACAATTACTGGTTGTCTTTAAAATCATGAAATGATTTTGGACTTGCATTTTTCAAGGATTGGGTAGTAGGGGAGGATGAAAGGTTAAATTTGATGGTTGCTGTCCCAGGAAGAGGAGGAGAAGAAACTAAAAAAGAAAATAAGGGAATAAGCGAAATAAAATTAAAAGTACAACTAAGAAGAATTTGGAATGTGAAATGACCGTGGGACTGGGGGCACCATGATCTTTTTGTCTCCATTTCCATTTTCATAAGATCACAGAATGTCAGAGATGAAAAGTATCTTAGAACTAAATCTTAGAAATAAATCCACAATAAAGCCTGTCTTACTCAGCCTGGTCTCTCCCAGGGTTCCTTTACATCAATATCCTTTCCTCAATAAATGTTCACTGAATGGATAAGGGGGTGGGATGACCTTGCCTCCTAATTCAAATAACAGAGGCCCAATCTAGTAAATGAAGCTATAACTACTTGTTGTCATAGTAACCTAACACCTGGATTATACATTCCCTAGATCTGTGAGGTATTTACAGGTTTAAAAATGTTTTCCAAATAGCGCATCATTTGAAGTATGTCATCTCACCCAATCCTTCCTCTACACGTCCTGTCACCGTGATCCCCTCTGTCCTTCCCATCACTCACTGCTCGCTGGCTCCTTCCTACCTGTGTCTCTACAGCAAGCATTTATTATGCTCACACCACAAAGGGCCATTCTGGTCATTTTAAATTTTTTATCACTTTGGTTGGAGTAGAAATGTATCAAATCCAGAGACATTTTATTTGAACACAAATCACTCCTAATGTCGGCAGGCCTAGTTTGCAAATAGTCCAGTTAATGTGTACTAGAGTAAATGACCAGAGACTTCCCAAAAAGAAGTCCCTTATTTTAAGAACCTAAGGTTCTGCCTAACGTGATTTTCCTAGAGCAGATGTGAAATTCCATCTCCGTTCCTGGGAGTCTGGGAAAAATTGTGAAAGGAGAGTGTAAGAATATTGCTCCCAGCCGGGCGCGGTGGCTCAAGCCTGTAATCCCAGCACTGTGGGAGGCCGAGGCGGGTGGATCACGAGGTCAAGAGATCGAGACCATCCTGGTCAACATGGTGAAACCCCGTCTCTACTAAAACTACAAAAAATTAGCTGGGCATGGTGGCGCGTGCCTGTAATCCCAGCGACTCAGGAGGCTGAGGCAGGAGAATTGCCTGAACCCGGGAGGCGGAGGTTGCGGTGAGCCGAGATCACGCCATTGCACTCCAGCCTGGGTAACAAGAGCGAAACTCCGTCTCAAAAAAAAAAAAAAAAAAAAAAGAATATTGCTCCCTCCAGAAAGTTCTAACAAGCCGTATCACCTCAAGACAACCTGGAGAACAAATATTAGATGTTTCTCTAATAGCATCCCACTTCATTAATTAATGTTTGAGAATCAACAGTAATTGCAGCCAAGAATGCTTTCCTTAACAAAACTGATCTCCTTCTCCTTGCCCATAGTCTCTACTATTTCACCCCTTATTTAGCATTCTGTGTTAATCCTTGCATGGTCTGGCTCCTCCAGAGGGAGACTCGAGAATCAAACTCCCGGCGTTGTGGCGCACGTCCGCCGTCCCGGCTACTGTGGAGGCGGAGGTGGAAGGATTGCTTGGGCCCAGGAGTCCAGGACTAGTCTGGGCAACATAGTGAGATCCCATCTTAGAAAAAGAATCCAACTGAATGTGCTGAGCTCCTACTAGAGCATCTAAAGCTGCCTGTGGGCCAGGCGTGGTGGCTCACACCTGTAGTCCCAGGTACTCAGGAGGCTGAGGCAGGAGAATCGCTTGAACCCAGGAGATGGAGGTTGCAGTGAGCCGATATCGGGCCACTGCACTCCAGCCTGGGTGACAGAGGGAGACTCTCTCTCAATAATAATAATAGCAATAATCATGCTATGTAATAATCATAGTAATAATTATATAATTATGGTATATATTATAATGTATCCTATGATAATAATTATGCTATGTACTAATCAGAGTAATAATAACAGTAATAATCATGCTGCCTGTGCCCCCGATAAGGCAGCACTGGCCGCAGGTGGCCGCTAACCCCTTGAAATATAGATGGCCAGACCTGCGGCACATGCAAGACAACACTACACCGGGTTTCAGAAACACGTACGATTTTCAAAAGAATTAAAATACCGCATTTAGTTTTTCTATTGATTGCATGTTGAAATCTTACTTTGGATATATTGGGTTAAATAAAGTTTATCATTAAAATGTTTAAACTTATGTGCCTATAAGAAACTTCCAAAATTACACAGGTGGTTGCGCTATATTTCTCTTGGACAGCACTGGTCTGGAGGACGACAAAAATCAAGATACGTTTGAATCACGCCATGTCTTTAGGGAAAAGAAGAGTTTCCTTTCCTATTGCTTACGGGCTCCTCGCAAGAATCATCTGAAAGAGAAAAGCCCTGGCTCCCGCCCCAGTCACTTCTAATCCTGGTTCCCCGCGCCAAGAAAGCCAGGAACGGGCAAGCCTGGCAAGGCATTGAAAGGGAACGGGACCCCCCGAGTACAGGATGCGTTTTTGCCCCACAAAAGTCCCTTGAGGGTGGGGGACCGCAGCTGCTGAGGCTCAGGAAAGAGGGGAGCACACGGGATGAGGCCCTCAGAGTCAGGCACGCAGGACCTCGACCCCAGGCTCCTCATTTCCAGGTTCGCGAGTGACCTCCCCAAGATGGCCGTCGCCGGGGGGGCGGTTCTCCGCGCTACACGGGTGTTGATTGGGTGAGACGACTCGATAGTGAGCAATGATTGGTTCACAAGGAGCGAGCTGGGCGGAACCGGAAGATGGTCTGAACCTGGGGTTGCCGGGGTCTTGAGGCTAGGCGTCGGTCTCTGGGGGATGTGGAGAGTCGGCAGCATGTCGGCAGAGCTGGGAGTCGGGTGCGCACTGCGGGCGGTGAACGAGCGCGTGCAGCAGGCGGTGGCGCGGCGGCCGCGGGTGAGGAAGGAGGCTGCGTGGGGACAGTGGGAGGACGCCCTGAGGAGAGGGACACCTGCGTGGGAATGGGTCGTCACGGTGACGCAGAGGGGTCTCCCGAAGAGGCGGGATCCGTCGGCCGCCGAGGGCCACCAAAAAGCTAGCGAAGGGTTTCCCCACCTTCCTTGCCCTGAGTCTGGTAGGTTTCTGGAGATTGGCTTCGTTGGAGCAGAGGGTACCGCTACCTCGGGAAAATGACTTCGTGTCCAGGCATCGTGGCCACTTGTGAACCGCGTCGAACCGCGTCGTTTCGGGGTCGACAGCCTTGGCGGACGTGAGGGGGGCCAGGCCTGTGCCTACGGACAGTAAGGGGGACGGGGGTACAAGAGCACCCCACGGAGGCCAGACCCGCCCGAAATCGCGAGTGTGGCAGTGTCTCACCTGCCAAGTGCCCTGGAAATGCCAGTGCCACCCAAAGGCTGAGATGAGGGTGGACTGGCCGGACTTCACTGGCACCACAGCGGCACTTGTTTGTGGGTGCGGGAGGGAGCAGTCCAATCCCAAGCCGGTTAAGGGGAGATTTCGTCTTTCGTGTATATATTTTTTACCTCCTCTTGGACTTATGATTAGACCAGGAATCAAAATCTGCCCACCTCAGTGCAAGTTTAAGCTGAATGGTGTGGAATGAGATGGACCTAAACATAGAGGTCACGGGTTTCTATGATCGAGCATTTATGCTGGCTGAAGAGTAGCTCAGATTGCAGATGCCCACCATGCCTGACTAATTTTTTGCATTTTTAGTAGAGACAGGGGTTTCACCATGTTGGCCAGGCTGTATTATAGTCTTTCCTTGACTGACTATTCTTTAGACATTACCTTGAACAAGTCAGACCCGCAGTATTTCCCTCCCTGTACAAGCAATGCAGTAATCTCTGAAAGCTCTGAGCTCCTTTCTGATGTTAATATTCTGTGATTCTTGGTGATTCTCCAAGAAAAATCTAGGACTTCCCCTAACAAACATCACCCTGGAGGTTCTCTCAGGGAAACGCTCAGGCACATGGGCTGCCTGTTCGGGTGACTCTGAAAAACATCAATTATCAGCATAATCCCAGTAGTCACGACTTGGACTCAAAAGAGGCTGGTTATGCATCCCTGTGGAAGGAAGGAAGAGGGGGCATTTTTCTAATTGACTGACTCCTTCATGTCCTTGAAAACACTGTGATTCTGTGAAAACTCCAGGGGGTGATAGATACAGGAAGACTGAATCATGCAAGGATAAATGAATCTCTTCTCTTACTGTTTCTGTGTGGATTGGGTCAGCAGAATGCATAGAACCCCTGCTCTTTGTGTAGTGGTCGTGCGAGGATGTCAGATAAGTCTAATCCTGAGTCCAGAGTAATTTTGTGTTGCAGTCTTAGTTCTGCCATTAGTTCTTTTCTTTTCTTTTCTTTTCTTTTTTGAGATGGAGTCTCACTCTGTCACCCGGGCTGGAGTGCAATGATGTGATCTTGGCTCACTGCAACCTCTACCTCCCAGGTTCAAGTGATTCTCCTGCCTCAGCCTCCCGAGTAGCTCAGATTGCAGATGCCCACCACCATGCCTGGCTAATTTTTTGTATTTTTAGTGGTGACAGGTTTCACAATGTTGGCCATGCTGGTCTCAAACTTCTAACCTCAGGTGATTTACCCACCTCGGCCTCCCAAAGTGCTGAGATTACAGGGGTGAGCCACTGTACCTGGCCGTGCCACTGGTTCTTAATTCACAGATTGAACAATCAATTACTTAGTTACCTAAGCAGGCCATTTGTAGGGTAAATGGGGCAGTGTTATTATGGTGTAATGATACACTAGGACCAGGATGAGTTACCAAAACTGCTAACATTAGGGTTTCAGAAGCCAGAAGTGACTTCTCTTTTGCTTAAAGAGTACAGCCTTCGACCAGGCGCGGTGGCTCACGCTTGTAATCCCAGCACTTTGGGAGGCCGAGGCGGGTGGATCACGAGGTCAAGAGATCGAGACCATCCTGGTCAACATGGTGAAACCCCGTCTCTACTGAAAACTACAAAACATTAGCTGGGCATGGTGGTGCGTGCCTGTAATCCCAGCTACTCAGGAGGCTGAGGCAGGAGAATTGCTTGAACCCAGGAGGCGGAGGTTGCGGTGAGCCGAGATCGCGCCATTGCACTCCAGCCTGGGTAACAAGAGCGAAACTCCGTCTCAAAAAAAAAAAAAAGAGTACAGCCTTCTATTAATGAAGTGATTCTTAAGTCTCCAACATTGGTATGTCTGAGAGTCATCTGGAGAGATTGTTGAAAAGTAAATTATTGGCTGGACGCAGTGGCTCACACCTGTAATCCCAGCACTTTGGGAGGCCAAGGCAGGTAGATCACGAGGTCAGGCGTTCAAGACCAGCCTGACCAACATGGAGAAACCCCGTCTCTACTAAAAATACAAAATTAGCTGGGCAAGGTGGCGCATGCCTATAATCCCAGCTACTTGGAAGGCTGAGGCAGGAGAATCGCTTGAATCTGGGAGGCAGAGGTTGCAGTGAGCCAAGATCACGCCATTGCACTCCAGCCTGGGCAACAAGAGTAAAACTCGATCTCAAAAAAAAAAAAAAAAAAAAGAAAAAGAAATTCTCACCCAGGTGATGCTGATACAGTTGGTCCAAGAGCACACAAGGAAATACTGCTTTAACTGGCCCAGCTCTCCTGAGAGAGAAATTTCTTCTGCTAAATACTGACATCGCTAACATATTAGATTGAGAGGCCATGCACCTAAAAAACATTTGATCACCACTATTTGATATTGATCTACCTACAGTGTTGAAAAAATGGATCTTACCTAATGCCAATTTGAGATCAATGCCTGTCTATACAGGATCTATCCTATAGGATTCGTTGGGATAATATTCCCAAACATGCACTCATATGTTTCCTTCCCTCTTGGCAGGATCTCCCAGCCATCCAGCCCCGGCTAGTGGCTGTCAGCAAAACCAAACCTGTAGACATGGTGATCGAGGCCTATGGTCATGGGCAGCGCACTTTCGGCGAGAACTATGTAAGAGCCCTTTCCTGAAGTGCCTTTGGAAGCATCGTGATTGCCAGGCTTCTGACTTGTTCTGTTTTTACCTTTTAGGTTCAGGAACTGCTAGAAAAAGCATCAAATCCTAAAGTAAGTAGATAGCTGAATTCTTTAATTTATATCTAAATCGTGGCTCTTTAGTTGAAAATTAGACCCGTCTTGGTGGCTGAGCTGTAGAGCAGCTTCAGGATGGTTGACTTTAGATTGGGGTGGGGACAGAAATCTCAACTTTCACCTTGAGTGCCAAATAATTATCAGCTAGATTTTTCTCTTTGTTCAGATTATCGTTTTCTCCTTGGTAGCTGTTTGGAAATGGTGGTTTCCGGAACTTGCTGTAATTTTGGATCTTTTCAAGATTTGAAAGCTTATCAGTTCATCCCTGACTGCCGATATCTGAAAGATGAAGGAAGTTGATGGGAACAATGAAGGGAAACAGAACAAAAGCCTTAGACTCTTCTCTATCCTGAAGATTGTGGTAGTTTATTACATTTAAGGATCAGAGAGTGGACGGGAAAGGTGACAGGGAGTGCGCAAGGTGTTGGAGGAAGCAAGGCACCTGTAAAAATCTAAGTTACACATGGTTACCTTTTCTCTTCAGATTCTGTCTTTGTGTCCTGAGATCAAGTGGCACTTCATTGGCCACCTACAGAAACAAAATGTCAACAAATTGATGGGTAAGATAAAACTCTAAATATGAAGACAAAATTGCTCTGTTATTGTATTGCTTCTCCTACCGTCTCTGGAAGAGAGAGCAACTTTTAGACCATCCCTAGTTTCCCATATGTTTTTGGAATTTCTTTTGGAAAGTCTCAGTTCTTAATATAAGGAGAAAACATCATGCCAAGAACAGAATATATTCACAGTTGCCTGGCTTATATATACTTGGAAACCTGCCCTACCTCATGTTTATTATTATTTAGTTGTCTTTCAGAAAAATTATAAAGAATTGCAGCCCATAAATTTTTTTAACTAGCAAAAGAGACATTTCTGTTCTTTTTCCTTTAAATAAAAGGCTGCAGTAAATAAAATAGAGTACAGTAAAGTAACTATAGTAAAGTAAAATTAAGAATTGTAGAAACATAGGCCAGGCACGGTGGCTCATGCCTGTAATCCCAACACCTTGGGAGGTGAGGCAGATGGATCACTTGAGGTCAGGAGTTCGAGACCAGCCTGACCAACATGGTGAAACCTCAACTCTATTAAAAATGCAAAAATTAACCGGATGTGGTGGCGCGTGCCTGTAATCCCAGCTACTTAGGAGGCTGAGACAGGAGACTTGCTTGAACTCCAGAGGTGGAGGTTACAGTGAGCAAAGATCACACCACTGCACTCCAGACTAGGTGACAGAGCAAGACTCCGTCTCAAAAAAAAAAAAAAAAGATTTATAGTAAAATAAAATTAGGAAAGACATGGAGGCTGGGCCCAGTAGCGCATGCCTGTAATCCCAGCACTTTTGGAGGCCGAGGTGGGCGGATCACCTGAGATCAGGAGTTTGAGACCAGCCTGGCCAACATGGCAAAACACGTCTCTCCTAAAAATACAAAAATTAGCCAGGCATGGTGGTGTGCATGTGTAGTCCCAGCTACTTGGGGAGGATGAGGCAGAAGAATCACTTGAACCTGGAGGCAAAGGTTGCAGTAAGCTGAGATCGCGCCACTGCACTCCAGCCTGGGTGGCAAAGGAGACCCTGTCAAAAAATAACAATAATAATAATAATGAATTTAAAAAGAACAACTAGCAGATTTGAACACAGAAAAATTAAAGCTTTCTGCATGTCAAAGCAAAAGGAAGGCACAGAGTGGGAGAAAAATAATATTTTTGAAAAGGGAAGAAGTTAATGTTCAGAATACATAAACAGCTACAAATCTTTTTGTTTAATCTATAGGAAAAAAATAGGCAAAAACTGAGGCAGTTCACAAGGGGTAAAAATACAAAAGTCCAGTAATCAAATGAAAAACATTCATCCTCAAACAGAGAAATACAAAGTAACTTTCACAAATCAGGTTTGTAAAAACTCAAAAAGACTGCTTCTAAGATCCAGTGTTTTGAGGGAATGAGAAAATGCGTACTCCTTCATCTTACCAGGAGATTCTAAAACTGTACAGTCTTAGAAAAGCCTAAAGATTCCATCAAAAAACTATTGTAACTGAAAAACAAAGTCAGTAACATTGCGGGATACAAAATCAATATACAAAAATCAGTAGCATTTCTATATGCCAACAGAGAATGATCTGGAAAGTAATCAAGAAAGTAATCCCATTTACGATAGCTACAAATGAAATACCTAAGAATAAACGTAGCCAAAGAAGCAAAAGCTTTCTACAATGAAAACTATAAAACATTGATGCAAGAAATTGAAGAGAACATGAAAAATAGAAAGATATTCCATGTTCATGTATTGAAAAAATCAATTCATGAATTGATTTTTTTGATGTATTATAAAAATGTCCTTATTACTGAAAGCAATCTACAGATTCAGTGCCGTGTCTATCAGAATACCAATGACATTCTTCACAGAAACAGAAAAACATAATCCTGAAATTTATATGAAACCACAAAAGACCCACAATGGCCAAAGCCATCCTAAGCAAAAAGAACAAAACTGGAGGAATCACATTACCTGATACGATCAAATTATATTGCAGAGCTATAGTAACCAAAACAGTATGATACTGGCATAAAAACAGACACATAGACCAATGAAACAGAATAGAGAACCCAAAAATAAATTTGTACATCTACAGAGGACTTATTTTCAACAAAGGTGCCAAGAACATACACTGGGGAAAGGACAGTCTCTTCATTAAATGCCATTGAGAAAACTGGATATCCATATGCAAAAGAATAAAACTACACTCCTATCTCTCACCATATACAGAAATCAAATCAAAATGGATTAAAGACTTAAATCTAAATCTAAGACCTGAAACTACTAAAAGAAAATATTGGGGAAACTCTCCAAGACATTAGTCTGGACAAAGATTTTTTTTTTTTTTTTTTTTGAGACAAGGTCTCACTGTGTCACCCAGGCTGGAGTACAATGGCATGATCTCGGCTCACTACAACCCTACCTCCTGGGTTCAAACAATTCTCCTGCCTCAGCCTCTCAAGTAGCTGGGATTACAGGCGTGTGCCACCATACCCGGCTAAGTTTTGTGTTTTTAGTATAGAGATGGAGTTTTACCATGTTGGCCAGGCTGGTCTCAAATTCCTCATGTCAAGTGATCCGCCTACCTCGGCCTCCCAAGGTGCTGGGATTACAGGTATGAGCCACTGCACCCAGCCTTGTTGGAAATATGTAAAGGTGATGGGAAGAGGGAGGGGGAAGGAGCCAGCAGGCATAGAAGGGGCAGGAAAGCCTAACAGAACTGTGTTGTTTTGGTGCCATTTTCCCCTCTAGATAATCGATTATACTCATTCAACCTTATGGCTCAATTCATTTCCATAAAGGCTTCTTGAGGCCAGATGCAATAACTCACACCTGTAATCCCAACTCTTTGGGAGGTCAAGGTGGGAGGATCACTTGTAGTCAAATATATATATGTGCATTTTCTTCCTTTTTTTTTTTTACTTTTTAATTTATTTTTTGAGACAGAGTTTCGCTCAGTTGCCCAGGCTGGAGTGCAATGGCGTGATCTCTGCTCACTGCAACCTCCACCTCCGGGGCTCAAGGATTCTCCTGCCTCAGCCTTCCAAGTATCTGGGATTACAGGCACCTGCCCTCACGCCTGGCTAATTTTTTGTATTGTTAGTAGAGACAGGGTTTCACCTTGTTAGCCAGGGTGGTCTCCATCTCCTGACCTCGTGATCCACCTGCCTTGAACTCCCAAAGTTCTGGGATTATAGAGTGAGCCACCATGCACAGCCGTTTTTTTGTTTTTTTGAGACAGTCTTGCTCTGTCACCCAGGCTGGAGTGCAGTGGCCTGATCTTGGCTCACTGCAACCCCTGCCTCCTTGGTTCAAGGAATTCTCCTGCCTCAGCCTCCCAAGTAGATGGGATTACAGGCATGTGCCACTACGCCTGGCTAATACTTTTATATAATAGAGATGGAGTTTCACCATGTTAACCAAATTTCTGGCCTCAAGTGATTCGACCACCTCGGCCTCCCCAAGTGCTCGTGTTACAAGCATGAGCCACCATGCCCAGCCACACCCGGCTAATTTTTGTATTTTTTGGTAGAGACAGGGTTTTACTGTGTTGGACAGGCTGGTCTCAAACTCCTGGCCTCAAGTGATCTGCCCTCCTCGGCCCCCCAAAGCATGGGGATTACAGGTGTGAGCCACTGCACCCGCCCTGAACAAAGATATCTTGAGTAAATACTCCAAAAGCACAGACAACCAGAGCAAAAATGGACAGATGGGATCACATCGAGTTAAAAAGCTCTTGCAGGCTGGGCACAGTGGCTGATGTCTGTAATCCCAGCACTTTGGGAGGCTGAGGTGGGTGGATCCCTGAGGTTAGGAGTTCAAGAACAGCCTAGCCAACATGGCAAAACCCCATCTCTACTAATAATAAAAACATTAGCCAGGTGTAGTGGTAGGCGTCTGTAATCCCAGCTACTTGGGAGGCTGAGGCAGAAGAATCACTTGAACACAGGAGGCAGAAGTTGCAGTGAGCCAAGATTGCACCACTGCCCTCTAGACTGGGCGACAGAGTGAGAATCTGTCTCAAAAAAAAAAAAAAAGAAAGAAAAAGAAAGAAAGAAAACCAAAGCTCTTGCAGAGCAAAGGAAACAAGAAAGTGAAGAGACAACACAGAATGGGAGAAAATATTGGCAAAGGGCAAAGTACCCATCTGAAATACTTGTACATAGCACAAAGTTCTATATCCAAGCTCTGTTTTTGTAACAAAAAATAAGAAACAATCTAATGTGCATCAACAAAGGGAATAATTACATGAACTGTGATCATCTGTCCTGTGGAATGCTGCAGTGTTTTAAAAGTACCAGTGGATCTGTGATACTGATGTGGGAAAAAAAACTCCAAACTCTGCACTGCTTACTAGAAGTAAGCAACCTGTAGAATATTTAGTGTAATCCAATTTGTATTATTTTTAAAAACAGAAGAAAAGAAATTATACATTTGTGTGTATGTGTGCATGTGTATTTGGTTGGATAAAGATAGCTGAAACAGATCTGGAAGAATTAACATCCCTAATATAATAGTGATATCTTCTAGGATATCACTATTTAAATCCCAATTATCAGTAGAAATCTGAAATTGACTGTAGATCAAGTCTTTATCATTTCTTGATAATTAGCTATAATCTGCCCTAAAAACTGAAGTTAATGTTACTAGCATCTCCACCTAATAAATGGGGGTCAAGACAATGTTAATAGCTCTTGTAACTGCATAACAAATAACTGCTTGCTGCAGATTTCTCCTCCAGTTGTTAATTAGGGTGAGGGGCTTTGACTTTCTGCTGCATATGCTTCTACATTGCTTAATTTTCTTACATCAAGCATGTATACCTTGTGTCGTTTTTTCAAATTTATATTTTTTTCAGTAAAGTAACCTGAGATGAAATTCAGTATTAAGAATGTAAAGGCCAGGTGTGGTGGCTCACACCTGTAATCCCAGCACTTTGGGAGGCTGAGGTGGGCAGATCACCTGAGGTCAGGAGTTTGAGACCAGCCTGGCTAACATGCTGAAACCTCGCCTCTACCAAAAATACAAAAATTAGCTGAACGTGGTGGCGCATGCCTGTGATCCCAGCTGCCCGGGAGGCTGAGGCAGGAGAATCGCTTGAACTCAGGAGATGGAGGTTGCTGTGAGCCAAGATCGCGCCATTGCACTCCAGCCTGGTGACAAGAGTGAAACTCCATCTCAAAAAATAAAAAAAGAATGTGAAGTCACCTTTCTGCATCTTAGTATCCCCTTCTGTAAAATAGGGATAACAACAGTGCTTTGTGAACTGTGGTGAAGATTCAAAAGAAATATTACATAGGCCGGGTGCGGTGGCTCAAGCCTGTAATCCCAGCACTTTGGGAGGCCGAGGCGGGTGCATCACGAGGTCAAGAGATCAAGACCATCCTGGTCAACATGGTGAAACCCCGTCTCTACTAAAAATACAAAAAAAAAATTAGCTGGGCATGGTGGTGCATGCCTGTAATCCCAGCTACTCAGGAGGCTGAGGCAGGAGAATTGCCTGAACCCAGAAGGCGGAGGTTGCGGTGAGCTGAGATCACGCCATTGCACTCCAGCATAGGTAACATGAGTGAAACTCCGTCTCAAAAAAAAAAAAAAAAAAAAGAAATATTACATATAAAGTGATTCACGTACTACCTGGAGGATTTCTGTGTTCAGTTAAAGTAAGCTACTGGTGCAGGTTCTTTTGTCACCATTGTTGTAAACTAGCTCAAGCAAAGCTGGCGCTTCATTTCACATGCATCTTTGAAAAAGAAGATGACTTTATGATTGTGTCTCATTTAACTCTCAGTGTTGGGGTCATTGGGTTTTTTTTGGTTTTTGGTTTGTTGTTGTTGTTGTATTTGAGACAGAGTCTTGCTCTGTCACCCAGGCTGGAGTACAGTGGTGTGATCTTGGCTCACTGCAACCTCCACCTCCTGGGTTCAAGCAATTCTCCTTCCTCAGCCTCCCAAGCAGCTGGGACTACAGGTGTGCCCCACCATATCTGCTAATTTTTTTATTGTTAGTAGAGACAGTTTCTTCAGATTGGTCAGGCTTGTCTCGAACTCCTGAACTCAGGTGATCCACCCACCTCAGCCTCCCAAAGTGCTGGAATTAAAGTTTGAGTCACCATGCCCAGCCGGTGTTGGGGTTATTGTGATGTCCTTGTTGAATAAGAATATCCTCAGCCCAGAAAGTTGAAGAATGGGGTGATAGGCCAGGGAAGCATCTTGGCTTCCGCTGGTCATCCTTTCTTCATTGTCATCTGACCTGCTTCTCTCAGTTTGAACTGAGACACAGATCGAGCCTGTTATTAGGAATCTGTTCATTACCAGCTTCTTGAAGCATATTAATATATGTACTGCCTGATCGTGTATGTCAGCGTTTCCTTTATTTACCTTTGCTGATTAGCCAGGGATAGTCTGACATTTGAATTTGTATCTAGTAAAACTGTCACATTTGTCTTCTTAGAGGAACTGAGATTTAACTGTGTTTTTCTTTTCCTGGCATATTTTTTCCTCTACCAAGTCAGAGATTTGTTGCATGTTACTTGCTGCAATAGAGTGTATAAGGAATACTACCTTGCCTCTGTCTCATTACAGCTGTCCCCAATCTCTTCATGCTGGAAACAGTGGATTCTGTGAAGTTGGCAGACAAAGTGAACAGTTCCTGGCAGAAAAAAGGTTCTCCTGAAAGGTTAAAGGTTATGGTCCAGATTAACACCAGCGGAGAGGAAAGTAAGCGACTAGACCTGAATTGTAGATTATTCTTCCCTTAGGATGGTTGAAGCTCAGGGAGAATGGGTAGGCCCAAGTGTCTGATGGAGGAGGTTATGGAAACAAATCACAGGATCACAGGCCTCTAAGTAGGCTGTTTTTTTTATGAACTAGATAGCATAATGACATGCAAGCCAGTCTTTATATCATTATTTACTACATCATGGTTCATTATATCTTAATTTTAGGGGAAGAAGGATGGGGAGTGAAGAAGGGGATTGTGACTTCATTTTTTTTGTTGTTGACGTTGTTTTCTTTTTGAGATGGTGTCTCACTGTGTCACCTAGGCTAGAGTGCAGTGGTGGGATATCAGCTCACTGTAACTTCTGCCTCCCAGGTTCAAGTGATTCTCCTGCCTCAGCCTCCCAAGTAGCTAAGATTACAGGCACCCACCACCACACCTGGCTAATTTTTGTATTTTTAGTAGAGACAGAATTTTACCATATTGGCCAGGCTGGTCTTGAACTTCTGACCTCAGGTGTTCCACCTGCCTTGGCCTCCCAAAGTGCTGAGATTAAAGGCATGAGCCACTGTGCCTGGCCTGGGATTGTGACTTTCATCTGAAAAATCCCCAAAGGTCATCATCACTCCTGCAAGGAGTATTTTAAATTTGCATGTAATACTCTTATGTCTTAAAAAAAAAAAAATTACTAAATGTTACATTAGAGAGAATGGAATATAATTACTGTAAGTGGGCTGGGTGCGATGGCTCACACCTGTAATCCCAGCACTTTGGGAGGCCGAGGCAGGTGGAACACCTGAGGTCAGAAGTTCAAGACCAGCCTGGCCAACATGGTGAAACCTCATCTCTACTAAACTTACAAAAATTAGCCAGGCATGGTGTACCCATAGTCCCAGCTACTCAGGAGGCTGAAGCAGGAGGATCTCTTGAGTCCAGGAGGTGAAGGTTGCAGTGATCCGAGATCATGCCACTGCATTCCAGCCTGGGCAACAGAGCAAGACTCCATCTCAAAAAAAAAAAAAAAATTACCGTGAGTACCTGTCAATGAGTATCTTTATGGGGCTTGGATTAACAGCGTAACATAGTGTGAATAGAAGCATGGGCTTGAAATCAGACAGACCTTGGGTTTGAGCTTCACTACTTTCCAGCATTATAACTTTGGATAAGTTACCTAATCTCTCTGTACCTCAGTTTCCTTTTCTGGCAATGGTATCATGATAATGCTTGCTTCAGAGGGTGTGGTTAGGATTGAACGTGGTAATCCAGGCAACGCTGTTAGCACAGAACCCAACACATAATTGTTAGCTATTGGTTAAGAATAAATGTATGCAGTTCAGGCATTCGATTGCAACCATCAAAGCACCAGTATTCACCAAATCTTAGTACACAGGAGCGCAGTAGATTATCTGTTTTCTTTTCTCTCTCTCTCTCTCTTTTTTTTTTCTTTTCTTTTTTTTTTTTTTTTTTTTCCTCCAGTTCTCCTGAAGCAAAGAGGATCTGTTTTCTAGATAACAGTCTAGAGTCAGACTGCCTGGGTTTAAATCCCAATTATCAATAGAGATCTGAAATCGACTGTAGATCAAGTTTATATTTTCTTATTTCTTGATAATTAGCTATAATAAGCTCTGGTTAAAGACTGAAGTAAATGTTACTAGCATCTCTCCCTAATAAATGGGTGCAAGACAATATCAATAGCTCTTTTTTTCTTTTTTTTTTTTTTTTTTTTTTTTGAGACGGGGTTTCGCTCTTGTTACCCAGGCTGGAGTGCAATGGCGCGATCTCGGCTCACTGCAACCTCCGCCTGCTGGGTTCAGGCAATTCTCCTGCCTCAGCCTCCTGAGTAGCTGGGATTACAGGCACGCACCACCATGCCCAGCTAATTTTTTGTATTTTTAGTAGAGACGGGGTTTCACCATGTTGACCAGGATGGTCTCGATCTCTTGACCTCGTGATCCACCCGCCTCGGCCTCCCAAAGTGCTGGGATTACAGGCTTGAGCCACCGCGCCCAGCCATCAATAGCTCTTATAACTGTTTAACAAATACCTGGTTGCTGCAGATTTCTCCTCCAGTCGTTAATTAGAAAGTTCAATTAAACTTTACAAATATATCCAAAAATGTTTAACATGTACTTTATTTTAAATTTTTTGCAACTCTATTAAATTAATAAACTATAAAAATTGTTGACTTAGAAAAGTAATTCTCAGGTTCATCTGGCATTTTGGCCATGTGAATCTTCCTGGTATCCCCAAAAAGCAAGGTGTTTTCTTTTCCATGTCTCCTAGCTGTTCTCAGCTAAAATCCTGCGGTGGAGGAAGGACAATCTAATTGATAGCTCTTGCCTTGAGAAATTCAGAATCTGACCGGAGGCAGAGCAACATAGAAAATCCCAAGTATATAAAGTCATTCTTCAGAACTTGAGCCTCTTTCAAGAGTTTCTCTTGTTGGGGGTCACCTCCTCTGTCATAAGGAAGGGATGAAAATGGAACCTTCCTCTGGCCATTTACCCTTGTACCTGTCTTCCATTTCTTTCCGTGAAGGTAAACATGGCCTCCCACCTTCAGAAACCGTAGCCATCGTGGAGCACATAAACACCAAGTGTCCTAGCCTGGAGTTTGTGGGACTGATGACCATAGGAAGCGTTGGACACGATCTTAGTCAAGGACCAAATCCAGACTTCCAGGTACTGGGGGGCTGGGATTGCTCATGTGCTGAAGAGGCAGGGTGCTGGAGTGCTGCTGCAGAGCCGGCTGCAGTGGGGACTGCAGAGACATCAGACACTGCCTGCCGGGTGTTCTCTCCCGCTTCTGAACTCTTCTCAGAAGGAAAAGGGAAGAACAGGTTCCCCAGCCCCACAAACCTTTCTGAACTTAACTTGAAATTGGCTAAAACATAGTCTTTAGAGAATATGAGCTCTTTCTTCCTCTCCAGCGACTAATAGTTTTCTTAAAAGTGGGATAGTTTGCAAAAAACCCTTTCAGTAACTTCTGACAATTTCGACAGGCCTTGAAATCATGAGACATACATAACCATTGTCACAGAAGTTCAGATTCAGCCACTTCGGGGCATCATTAGAGAAGGCAGGAGTAAAACCGGTGTCATCTCTTTCTGTCAGCTGTTATTGTCCCTCCGGGAGGAGCTGTGTAAAAAGCTAAACATCCCTGCTGACCAGGTTGAGCTGAGCATGGGCATGTCCATGGATTTCCAGCACGCGGTGAGTGTCTGCCAGTGCCCTGCCTGCCTCGAGGGGCAGGGGTTGGGGGTCTGAGAGGCTGACGCAAGAGCAGATCTTTGCTGGAGAAACCTTGGAAATGCCTCGGGGTGGCCGTAGGGCACCCAGTCTCAGGGTTCTCAGCTACTCCAGCATCTTGCAGTCCCCACGCCCTTTCTTTTTTGAAATGTGTAGAAATTATAGCCTGACATCTGAATTTTAAAAAGAAATAAAATTCCATAAGTATAATCTAAAATAAATTAATTATAAATATAATTCCATAAATTATAAACATAATTCCATAAGTATAATCCAAAGGAAAAATAAGAATTTAAGCTATAATTTTTGGAAAGGCATTTTATTACATCAGTGCATGGGTGTGGCTATATAACAGCAAATCATAATGAAGCAGGCTGAGTCTTCATCTTTTACTTTTGGAGACAGAATCTCACTCTGTTACCCAGGCCAGAGTTCAGTGGCACAATCTCAACTCACTGCAACCTCCACCTCCCAGGTTCAAGTGATTCTTCTACCTCAGCCTCCCAAGTAGCTGGGATTTCAGGTGCCCACCACCACACCTGGCTAATTTTTAGTAGAAACGAGGTTTCACCATGTTGGCCAGGCTGCCCTCGATTCCTAATCTCAAATGATCCGCCACCTTGACCTCCCAAAGTGCTGGGATTGCAGGCGTGAGACGCTGCTCCTGGCCGAGGCTTCATCTTATGTGTAGGTTTTCCAACAATCTTACATGTATATCAACAGCTGTAAATATAAACTGATATAGGTGTGCTGGAGTGGCAATGCAAATACATGATTTTCTGGAATAGCAAATAACTTGATAAAGTTTCAAAAACCAAAATATAAACTTGCATTGCTGGAAAACTCTATTTATTAACACAGTGCAAAAATACATTGCATTTATAAGTCAAATGGAATTTGGTCAGATAATCATAAGGCTATTTTTTTCATCTACCTGACCATGGCACATTGGAAAGGTGGGTGGGCTGTAAGACAACTCTTTGCTGTTTGGCTGCTTTCCACACTGGACGTCTGACATCCTTGACCCCCACCTAGCTGAGTGCCAGCCACGCTCCCCAACCACTGGAAACCCAGAGAAACCCCTACTTGTTTTCTATATACACTCTCAGAGGTTGAACTGCCTCTCAGGAGAGCAACTGCCCTGGAGCCATCTTCGGCAGTGTTACTGTTCTTCATAGAAGGCTCCTGAGAGCCAGAATAGGAGCACAGCTTGGGCACTGGCTCCACTTCGTTATTTTAAACCTGGTCCTCGATGCCATCTCTTCTTTCCCAACAGATTGAAGTAGGATCTACGAATGTCCGAATAGGAAGCACCATTTTTGGAGGACGGGATTACTCAAAGAAAGCTACACCGGACAGGTGCGCAGCGGACGTTAAGGCCCCGGCGGAGGTGGCCCAGGAGCACTGAGCCAGGGAATACTGAGAACACTAACTATGCACCAACCTAGATTTTCAGTTTGATATTCCCTGTGTCTCAGCACAGTCCTGCTCTCCTGTGACCTGCGGAGAGCACTAATGATCACATGTGTTCATGGAAACCATCTGTGCTTAGTCCTTGACATAGGAAGCTCGCTTCAAGCAGCGGCTTTGGATTCAATTTAAGAAATTCAAACATTTCTGCAGAACAGATACCAAATCAATAGCCAGGAATCACTTTCAATATTGAATTCTGCGCAGGAGCAGGAACTGGTCCATGAATGCCTTTTCCAGGTTAAAATTTGGTCACTGATGCCTATAATAGTAGAAGTCAGAGGGATTCCACTCTTTCATCCCATTTTCATAGGAAATTCCTTATGGTTAACAACTCCCTGCAAACTCCTACTACATCGTCTAAATTTCTGTTCTGTGATAAGGTGATTTCTGCCCCCAGATTATTCCCTAGCCAGTAGATATGGGAAGATATTCTCGACTCTGGAATAGCAGTATAGGTAACTTCAGGAAATGGCTCGGGCCAATTCTCCAAACACAAATTGTTGCTGGCCAGGCATGGTGACTCATGCCTGTAATCTCAGCAGTTTAAGAGGCGGAGGCAGAAGGATCACCTGAGCCTAGGAGTTCAAGACCAGCCTGGGCAACATCAGGAGACCCTGTCTCTACAAAAAATTTAAAAATTAACGGGGCATGGTGGCTGAGGTGGAAGAATCACTTGAGCCCAGGAGTTTAAGGCTGCAGTGAGCTGTGATTGCACCACTGTATTCTAGCCTGGATGACAGAACCCGCCTCAAAAACAGAAGAAAAGAAAAATCTCCCAATAATCCATCAAGGCTTTGATCTCTTGGGGAGTTCTTCATAGATTCTGCCACATTTCTTAAAGCAACCTTTTGGGCCGGGCGCGGTGGCTCAAGCCTGTAATCCCAGCACTTTGGGAGGCCGAGACGGGCGGATCACAAGGTCAAGAGATCAAGACCATCCTGGTCAACATGGTGAAACCCCGTCTCTACTAAAGCTACAAAAAATTAGCTGGGCATGGTGGCGCGTGCCTGTAATCCCAGCTACTCAGGAGGCTGAGGCAGGAGAATTGCCTGAACCCAGGAGGCGGAGGTTGCGGTGAGCCGAGATCGCGCCATTGCACTCCAGCCTGGGTAACAAGAGCGAAACTCCATCTCAAAAAAAAAAAGGAAAAAAAAAAAAAAAAAAAATTAATTTGGTAATGAGAGCTTGTGTCACTGCCACTCTGTGGTATTCTTGAAATTAAGGGGTAACATAAGCAGGACTTAGGCATTTCTGACATCATCCTGAAGAGACTGGACTTCAAATTTTTCCTCTGGGACCTACAGTGATGAGAATTTAATGTTATCTCTACTATAATCCTCCTTAGGATGATTTTTGTAAATCAAAGACCAGTGAATCTTATTACTCCTAAGAAATGAAAGATTCCTTCAAAGCCTGCTCAGGCACATGGTTTCAACAAAGCCTGCCTTTGACGTTCCTTATCCTGAGGAGCACTTTCCAAGCAAGGTTACAGCTTCCCCACTGTACTACAAGCCAGAATTGTGCAACTCGTCTGGATCATTAATAAAGTAGCAAGATCTTCAGAAAGTCCCAAAACACCATTCTCCAATAGTCATGGCAGATGGCTTCAGGATGGCTTGTTTTTTATGTTCTAGACGGCTTTTTCTCTTACTTTGTCAAGCCTGTCTTTGATTTTACAAGTAACTTTCAAAACATGATGCTGCTGCTGAATGTACTTTTGTAAACTTAAACATTATGATTTCTGTACTGTTTCAATGAGAGCTACAGTGTGATATTTCAGAGTCTATTAAATAAAAATGTGAGTTTGAATTATACCATCTGTGCCAATTACAAAGCAATTAAAAGATTTATTTTTTATGATCTGGTGTAGTGAATGAATGTAACAGGAGGGGGCATTGGAATCGACAGGATGCAGCTGTGCCCATGCCTTGGCATCATGTCAGCCTGGCTTTGGAGGAGGGCTTCCCTAGAGTCACAGACGCAGCCAAAGCTACCCCATGGACAAGAGGGCTTCTGAACTTCTAAGAACAAGAAAAAGGACACTTCAGAAATTACAAAAATAGAGGTTACCCCTTGCTGCAAGGAACTTTTGAATTGCCTCTAGATGGCGACATTGGCTAACCTGAGGGCCAAGCACTGGCGCTCCACTGTCAGCAATTTACCCTGTAAGGGTTACTCAGCCTCATGGAGGCTAGAGGGGACATGACTTTCCCAAGCGATACAGGTGACTTGCAGAGCCTCAGGAGTTCAATACCAGCCAGCCTGGGCAACATGGTGAAATCCTGTCTCTACCAAAAATACCCCTCCAAAAAATTAGCCAGGCATGGTGGCGCATGCCTGTGGTCCCAGCTACTCCAGAGGCTGAGGTGAGAGGATCGCTTGAGCCTGGGAGGCAGCAGACACAGTGCACTGAGATCATACCACTGCACTCCAGCCTGGATGACAAGGTGAGACCCCGTCTCAAAACAAAACAAAAAAACCTGGCAAATAAGGAGGAAAGTCAGGGAAGGCTCAATTAGATCTAGATAAGGGAAGGACACCAAAGTGTGTCCAAAGTGTCCCCAGCAGAACGGGATCTTCTGCTGAGAGAAAATTGAGCCAGGTTGTGAGTTTGTCTTTTGTGACACATGATAGGCGGCAGGTTGGGTTTCTTCTAGATTTTCCATTTTGGATGGCTTGCTCTCTCGGATTGGGCCCACAATCCCAATTGAGACAGCCTCGCAGTCTCTGAGGATGCTGGGTCCTTGCCTGCCCTGAAGCCAGCCTCAGAAGGCTTGAGATGCCCCAAAGCCTCCCAATAGTCCATCAAGACTTTGATCTCTTAGGGAGCTCCTCACAGATTCTATCACAGTTCTTTTGTTGTTGCTGTTGTTGCCGACGCTGGAGTGCAGTGGCACCATCTCAGATCACCACAACCTCCGCCTTCCAGGTTCAAGCGATTCTCCTGCCTTAGCCTCCCGAGAAGCTGGGATTACAGGCATGCACCGCCACACTCAGCTAATTTTGCATTTTTAGTAGAGACAGAGTTTCTCCATGTTGGTCAGGCTGGTCTCGAGCTCCCTACCTCAGGTGATCCGCCTGCCTCGGCCTCTCAAAGTGCTGGGATTACAGGCATGAGCCACCATACCTAGCGGTCTATCACAGTTCTTAAAGCAACCTCTTAATACTCAAATTGTACCCCCCTTTTGTTCAGCATTGGTGGCATATGCAGCACTATTCTCTATATTCTCTTATTTCGCAGTCACAACAGCTGGTAGTCTAGCGTAGGCTGATAGGCAATGTGTCTTTGTGGACTGGGTACTGGAGCCCAGAGAAGGTTCTGTGTTCTCCTTGTCTAAGGTCAGGGTGAGTTGATGGCAGGGCAAGAAATAAACTCAGGACTTGACTTTCTGGCCCAGAATGTGGTCACTACTCCACACTGGTATCTGCTATCTCTACCTTTAATAATTGATAAGTGTGCCTGGTGCGGTGGTTCACACCTGTAATCCCAGAACTTCAGGAGGTGGAGGCAGGCAGATCATGAGGTCAGGAGTTCAAGACCAGCCTGTCCAACATGGTAAAACTGCATCTCTACTAAAAATACAAAAATTAGCTGGGCGTGGTGATGCACATTTGTAATCCTAGCTACTCTGGAGGCTGGAGAATTGCTTGAACCCAGGAGGCAGAGGTTGCAGTGAGCCGAGATAGAGCCACTGCACTCCAGTCTAGGTGACAGAGCAAGACTGCATCTCAAAAAAAAAAAAAAAATTGATAAGTAGCATATTCTTAGATGTGCAGCTTTCATTTAAATGAGCCTTATTACCATAAAATAAGTGTGTGTTTCTATTCCAGTGGAATAGTTGAGAATTGATGCATCTTAATATAGAACAAACTTTGAAACCACAGGCAGTGGGGGTGAGAAGGAAGGAGAGCGTGAAACTCAGCCATGAATGGGACTGGCCTCCCCTCTCGTCATCCCATCTCCCTCCCAAGCACATTCCTCCCAAGTCACACTAATCTCACAGGCTGTGGGGCTCAGAGTGTGCAAGCCTTGCCCTCCCCCTGAAGCTGGAGCGGCAGCGAATTCTGTTCCCTAAGGCTAGACACAGGAATGAGGTCAGACGGGACATTCTTAAAATCCAGGACATCTTCGTCTTTCAGAAAAGAAGTGGCCCTGTGCATCCCACCCAAGCTTTGAAGGAGGAAGGACTTGCCTAATAGTTCCTGGCTGCAGTAGGAATGGAGAGCCTTCAGTGGCACAAGGGGAAGGGATTTCTCTGGGAACTGTGACTGTCTTGACCATGAAATCAGTTGAATGCTATTACATCAGCCTCATGACTAAGGACAAAAGAATCCAAACTGTCTACCAAAATGTTTTAACTAGTCTGTCCTCCCCTCAAGGAATTCATAGGTAAAGAAAAGGGCTTCCTTTTCCACTCAGTTTGCACCAACGTGTGTAAACTATGGTGTGACTGAGCAGCTCCTTACAAGGTAAGGGTCCTTAAGCTTAAGTTCCTCTTCTGTGATCACGTTGAGGCCTCAAGGGACTCGGAGCTGACACTTTTTTCCTGTGAAGTCCAGCACAGATCAGCCGAAATGGCACACGGTGGGGACGGGGAGGGGGGCTTTGGGCACTTTTCTCGTATTTAAAATAAATTTAGAAGCCCACATTCCCGAGCCTTGAGATCACAGGAAGCAGAGGCCACTCTGCCTGCCGGAGTGCCTTCTTGAATGGTCCCAACCGCACCAGCTGCCCAGAGACACCGCGCGCTAGCTCCGTGCTATTCCAGGCTGCCCAGAGACACCGCGCGCTAGCTCCGTGCTATTCCAGGCTGCCCAGAGACACCGCGCGCTAGCTCCATGCTATTCCAGGCTAGCGTCTCAGCACCCGCCCTCCCAGCAGCCATGCGGCTCTCCAGCCTCAGAGCTAAGCCTGACCCAGCTGCCAATCTCCAAAATAAAATCAATGTGTGACCTTATTCACCAGATGTACCGAAGAAACAAGCACAAACGAGGGCCAACTTTGAAGCCAAAAAGGGAAGATGAGAAGTGGGAGAGAGAGAGAAAGAGGAGGGAAAAAGAAACTTGGCTAGACATGAAAGGTGTCTTGTCTGTCTGTTCCCTATTAGGCGCAATTCTCTTGCAATCTGCAGGCTCCACATAATTCTCTTGACCAGAAACTCTCTGGAGAGATAGTGTCAGAAGAAAAACAAACAGAATAGCATCTTCTGACAGCAAAGTCACTTAAAAACCTATTTGGGAGGGAAGAAGAGAGATGTCAGCACCTCGGGGGAGGGTCCTTCTTCACAGCAGGCCACATGTGGAGTTACATTTGCCCTGGGATTGGACAAGGACAGGCAGGGGCCAGGAGAGGGTAGACATTCGAGGGCAAGGCAGTCCCAGGAAGCAAAGGCCCAAGGCCTCTACCCTCCCAGCCCCTCTGATGCCCAAGATCTACCTCTCTGTGGATGCCACAGTAAATCGCATCAGTGCTTGGCTTTGCACAGCCCCATGGTACACCGAGAGGAATCCAGAATTACCTTAGAAGAAAAGGGGTTCCTTGGCTGGACGTGGTGGCCCATGTCTGTAATCCCCTTGTTTTGGGAGGCTGAGGCAGGAAGATTGCTTGAGGCCAGGAGTTCAAGACCAGCCTGGGAAACGTAGCAAGACCCTGTCTACAAACAGTATAAAAATTAGCCGGATATGATGGTGCACACCTGTAGTCCCAGTGACTCGGGAGGCTGGGGTGGAAGGATAGCTTGAGCACAGGAGATTGAGGCTGCAGTGACTGTGATTACACCAGCTGTGATGCACTCCAGCCTGGGTGACAGAGGGAGACTGTCTCTTAAAAAAGAAAAAAAAGGGGTTTCACTTTGTCAAAACTCCACCTTCCTACTGCTGCCGGCCACCAGCCAGAGGCTGAGAAATCAGCTATTGCTGTAAGCCTGTGAAGCAGCAGCCAGCTCCCCAGGCAGCAAAGGCCTCTTCTCCCCAGCCCCTTTGACCTGCCTTTGAGCTAAGCAGTCTAGTCCTGGGGAAGCCAGGGCCCAGCCCCCACCCCTCAGGAGCCCAGTGAGGAAGGTTCTGGAGGAGTGGGGGAGCAGGGCAGGAGAGGGCGGCCTTCTGTGCTCAAGTTTCTGGGGCAGGCATCCTGTTATAGGAGAAAACTTTTTTTTTAAGGAAGAAAAACTAATCAGAAGAAAGAAGCAAGAGCTTTTCCCTGCCTTTCGGACTTGTTTATTACCAAGATATCTGATTTCAGCAAAGGAAACCGGCACTGGAGCAAGGTTTTTATTGGCCGTGAGCAACAGGAATTCAGGGTTTGCCTTTGATTTGGCTTCCCTGGAACACGAGGCACTAAGGGTGCTCGCTGCTTTGATGGAGCAGCCCAGGACTTTGGGGCCCCTCAAATTCCCTGTTTTCTACAGCATTGACTCCAAGTCCCATTGGAGGCAGAGGGTGGAGCGAGCGGTCAGAGTGGAAGGCGGCCTCATAAATGTTTCGGAGAAATCAAAATAGAGGACAGTAGTTGCAAAGTTCTGAAACTACAGCCTGAGCGAGGGCCCCGGCCCGCCCCCCTTGCCTGGGACTGAGGGGCTGGAGGAGGCCAGGTCTGGTTTGCATGAAAGCGCCTGGTTCCAGACTTGTCTCTGACCCACGGAGCTAGGCAAGCTGCAGTCGCGGGGCTGAGGCCTGATGGTTTCAATGTGTGGGGAGGATAAAGCCAGAGATTTGCAGGGTCCTCTGCCAGCAGCGATCTTCAGCTGGGAGGGGCAGGGGCTCTGGGAGGGGTGAGCAGCTGGGCCACAGGCTCACAGAACTGCAGCTGATCCTCCAGGGCCCCCACAGACACCACCATGCAGGGAGAGCCACTGTGCCAGGCCTGGAACCCCCGCCTGCCCATCTCCCTCGCCTGCGCGGCTGCCTCCCTCTGCTGGTTTCCCGGGAGCATCTCCTGCACGGAGTAAAGGGGATGGCATCCTCCTATTTGGGGGGTGCTGGCTGAGCCCCTCCCTCTCATTCTCTCTTTTTTCCTCTTTGTATCCTGTGTCTGTCTACTTTCCCTCTCATCGTCTTTCTCATCTGTCTCCCACAAACCACTGGTGACAGAAGACCCCCAAAGCAAAGAGCTCTAGGTGACTCTGTCTCACTTTACTACTCTGGCCAGCCAGAAGTGTGAAGCAGGAGCTGCTAGCACTGCAAGGTGGCCAGGACAAGGGGCTGGGATCTTGGGGCCTGTGTCATTGTAGAGGGCAGCCTGATGGCGGAACCCTCTGGCGGGGAATGGTGCTGCCAGCATACAGCTCCCACGTTCTGCTCCAGGTTGGCGAGTGGGAGGCCAGGCCCAATGGAGACGCCTCTTCCCCTCCCAGGGTGTGGGGCTTCACAGGCGGCTCTGTGTGCCCACTCCTGACCGGTCACGGGCCTGTCTCCAAGACTGCGCACAGGCCCCAGCGTGGAGTGTGCTGTCCCCAGCAGGGCTCGGCTCAGCTGTGAGGCCCTAGCTCATGCTGGCAGCCCCAGTGCTGGTTGGGCCTCTGAGCAGAGGCCCAGGGTCTGGGGCAGGGGTGGGGATGGGGAACAGGGCTCTCACTGTGTCCATGTCAAGGAACCAGTCATCAAAAGGACTTTATGCAGTTACTTGGAGAACATGTTTACAGGGATAAGGGCTGCAGGAGTAAGGAGGTAGCCCATGAGGGGTATGGGGAGCTGCTACATACACACACACACACGCACACACACACACGCACACACATACACGCAGATACAGATATACACACATACAGATACACAGATATATATACACACACACAGATATACATCCAGATACACAATATACATACACATAGATATACACACACAGATACACAGATCCAGATACACACACACATACACAGATGCAGATCCACACAGATACACAGAGATACATACAGATATACAGATCCAGATACACACACGAGATACACACAGATACAGATACACGCACACAGATACACAGGTGCCGATACACACAGATACACAGATACAGATACACAGAAATACAGATATACAGATCCAGATACACACAGATACAGTTACATGCACAGATACAGATACACAGACACACAATTATACACACACAGATACACATACACCTACACATACTCACCTCTATACATACAACTACATACACACCCTACACACACACCCTTACACAACCTATACATACA